ACCATTGGCACCACTGGCATGAACAACTGCGACATAAAGCGACTATGAGAACGACACTCAGGTTTGGTTCACGAATGGTTTCCCGAGTTTGCCTTTGGAAACTACTCTGATTGTGAGCCTTTTGGAAGAATCTGCACCCTCAAGTTCCTCTCAGAGTCGCAGGACTCATCTTCAAGAGCACTTTGGCGCTTCGAGGAACGGCTACAAGATCCGGCGCTCACTCTGTCCCACCAAACATGCCTGGAAATCTCCTGATCCGCTCCATCGCTGGATGGCAAAGGAAGACTCGCTCCAGAAACATCCAATCCAAAGCTAGATCTCAAGATCTCATCCTCAAAGTCCAAAGAGGCAAACAGTCTGAGAAGGTCAGCTCGGGATTGGATGGAGGCGGCAAAATTGTTTCTGTGCGTGAGGGACTGGCGTGAGAGACTCGTTCAGTTGAACGAATGCACGAGGGTGACAACGAAGCTGTGGAAGATCAGCGGATGATTCCACAGTCTGATTTAGTCTGATCGACCACTTGTGCTTGCAGCGTGCTGGAACTCTTGGAGGGCTAATTTAAGTCCTTCGATAGAGTTAGAGGCTGTTGGATGTATGCATGAGATGATGGTTTTCTCAGACAATTCGTTCCACATACCTTTGAGGTTCTTCAGAGCTTGGCTTTTCAAGCATACTTTGCTCACCGTGTGCGCACGTAATCCTGGGGGCTGTCAGAGAAGAGGAAAGTGTAATACCCTTTTACTAGCTTCTTTATGTTTCTTTGCTTTCACCCCTGACTTTGTGCAGCTTGAATTTAGGTCAGGTCGGGGAATGGGCACCGGATCATGATTACTCTTTCTCGGTTGCATGTCGAGACCGTCTTCTGTGGTGATCCTGTCAGGACGGCCACGACTGCAACAACGTCCAGCTCAACGGAAACGGTCATCACTACGACAACGTTCACCAGGACGAGGGACGACAACAGCTGGGACACCGCAATGCATGTCCAAAGTATTTCACCTGTGGCGTCTGCAACCTGGAACATGATGGTGGTAGGGTATTGATTGTCATTTCTTTGATATCATGTAATCACGTGGCCCCGTTCTACAAAGGTTTGTTTCGATTGGTGCGTCTTAAACCCTTTTGTTCTTTCTGGGCACGAAGCATGAAGTCAATCTACAGTAACTGCTCTCGTTTTGAGGATGCACATCCACTCACAGAGTGAAAAGAGAAGGGACATGCGTTGATGCATGCTGCTCATTCTTGATAAATCACATGACTTTCCGATCGGCTGTTTGTGATTGATAGAAGCGTGCCTCAGAAGTACTGCCCCACCGTTAGCACAAGAATTGCAGAAAACCGTGTGTCTGAGTTTGTATTTGAGCCTTCTTTAGTTTCTAGGCAAAGCACATCACGTCACAACATATCAAACATACATACATACATATATATATATAGAGTGTTTGAGTTCAGTCTATAGCTTTCGCCGCCCCCACCACACACATTACATTGGCCTGCGAGACTCAAAGCAGTTTTGGCTGTATTGTTGCGACATCCACGAAGACAGGGTCATGTGAATCCTGTTGCTGCTGTGTATTTGTCTGCAAGCATATTCGCAACGGCTCGGCAGTTCTTCGTCAACTTTGACGAGCTTCACAACGTCCAATTCTCAGATTGCAAGTCCTTTATGGCGGTTTCGTGTGCTCCGTAATGTTTGATTTGAACATCAATGGATCTCCCAGGACCACCTCAAGCACACCAGGTGCACCTTGGACAGAAAATAGCTCGTCCTGCGAGATAACACGGTCCCACAAGCCAGTGTTGACAGCTACAAGCCCAAACTTGTCCCACATGGTTTTTCTATGGCTCCAGCGACTTTGGGCACGTTTGGGGGTGAGCATGGATGAACGTGATGAAAGTCGCCCGAGGAAACAAACACAAGCACTTCGACTGTGAGCACCTCATCGGTGACTTAGTCAATTGGGACATGCGAAAACAAGAAAGAACGGAAAGGTCTGAAGAAAGAGCAACAAAGCCTGAACAACAAAGAAACAAGGTCTCAAGAGAAAAACGATAAGACATGAACAAACACGAAAAGGAAGAAAGAAAGGTCAACAAGAAAAGAACCAAAAATGAGAAAAGAACCATAACAACAAAGAAATCAGGTCTGAAGAAAGAATCCAACAAACAAGAAAAGACAACACACACATTGGGACTACAGCTTCGCTTTGGACGTTCGCTTCGCATCTCAGGAGACTAGCACAAGCACAGCCTCTCGGCCGGCTGGGAAGCCGCTTCAAAAAGGTAGAGAAACAGGGGTAGAGCCAGGGGTGCAACAGAGGGTGTTTTGAAATCCAATCCAAGGAGATCCAAGGCGTTTTGACAGTTCTGGTCTTCGCTAATTACTGTTCGTTGTGGAAGGTTCATATTTGGTGTGGTTCCTAGCCGTACGCAAAAGGACCTTGTACCATCTTCTACTGCGTCGATTCCTAAGTCTGTGAACACCACGACGACTACGAGCAAGACAGAGACGACATCAACGTCCACCTTCTCGACTGCAACGTCGTCAAGAACGTCGACCATGACATCCTCAGAGACTACAGCTTCATGGATGGGAAAATCTTGAAACGAAACCGGTGCGTTTTTTTGTATGTTGATACAAGAAGCTACTAGGAACAAGTGCATCGCTTCTAGTAACAAGTGCCTTACTAGTAGTAACAAGAAGCTATTAGAAACAAGAAGCATGAAATAAATTGTGTCATGGTGCCATGGAGAGGTGTGTGCCTTACATGTGGGCTCCCGACACCAGCAGCTTGATTCCTTTTATGTTTTTGGTGGAGTTTTGACTCCGATTGAGTGTTGCACAGCATTTGTCGTGAGACTGTATCATCTACAACATCTACATCCACTGCTACATCAACCGGATCGGACACATCGACCGCATCGGCCACGCTGACATCGACTTTGGACTCGAATACTTCGACTTTGGAGTCTAACACAACCGCTCCTCACTTGCACACGCTTTGTGTTTCAGTGGCTTTCTATCAATTTCGGAAGAAGCGACAAAGAACGGTCTTAAGAAAAAGAGAAAAGAAATGAAAGGAAGCAAAAGATCAACTCGATCGGTAGTTGTTTTCCTTTCTGGCAGAACCGCCGCTAGATTCAAGGCTGAAGATGGCATGTACATGGGCATTCTTGCAGGCCGCAATGCCGGCCAACAGTTTGTCCTCCCTTTGTGTGGGAGTTGAGACCAGTAAAAAAAGAAGCACGAGTTTTTGAGTTTTTGTTAAATCCAGTAAAAAAAGCACGAGTTCCACAAGTTCTCAGAAATCTTACTTGCTTAACGGGGTGGTGAAGGTGACCTTCACGGTTTCGTGGCGGAAGCATTTTCCGTTTTGGCGAAGGGAGGGGATGTCCAAGAAGTCAAAAAGAATGGAAGGTGGACGACTGGGCCGCAGAATCTTTTTGACGCACGACGGTCAAGAAATCTGCACCCGTTGCGCTGTGAGGTGGAATCCCAACGGATGCAAGTTGGCCTACAAGGTTGGGACACCAAGCTCTTTCTTTGAAATGGACTGATCGGACACTTTTGGACATGCACTTTTTGAATGCGAGGTGGAGCTGCCTTGTTCTGTTGCTCACCTGCGGAAGACTCTTGGCTGCAAATGAAGTGGAATGCAACATGACAATCAAACACCAGAAAGCTCAGAAATTCAGTTGCTTCGATTTCGATGGTGGCCCAATGGGGCCCAATGGGGCTTGGAGACATCCGAACTTGGAGATAGATATACAGTAGCAAGACTTTGAGTGTGCGGTATGTCGCAGGGGTGCAGACATGCACGTGGTACAGAATGCATCGGTTGGAATTTGAGCCAAACATTGGTTGAATTATCCGTCCCGGTTTTCTGGTCAATGTAAGTGGCAATGTATCTTAGCAAATGGGCGAGCAGAGGTTGAGTGAGGTGCCTTGAGCTCAAACGTAACAATTGACGGTAATTGACACCTTGATTTGTGGAAGACACCAATTCATTCGGCCAGCATGCACAATTATAAGAATCAATAGGTCAGGGTGCTGAGTGGAGGGATCCTTCAAACGGTGTGGGGTGGGCGGGTTTTAATACGTGATTTCTTGCAAAACTCGTCGGGACACGCGATTGTGTCAAGCCGATCTGAGGCATTTGGGCGGGGCAAGGCTGAAGCTGGGAGTCCTGACCCCTCCTAATGAGGATTAGGAGCGCTTCAAAGTTCTTTGAATGTCTTTAGTTCTCAACGCATTCAGCCGACATTCTATGTGACAGCAGACATCAGCTGCTGTTGAACGTGTCAAAGACGCAACCTGTTACCGAATGGCAGTCAGCATCAATTGCTGAGTGTTCGTCCAGCCACAACCCTTCTAAGAAGGGATGCGGCATCCTGTACTCTTTCAGGTTTTGCCTGTGCGAAATAAAAGCAAATTCAGCTGCCGCAAGGCACTGAGTGATGACTTGAGCTCTTATGTATCGGGGCAGAAGAAATCATTCGGCCCTCGTGACCTTATGGTTAATGGTTGAGATACTGCAGAAACTCGACATTCCAGCTTTGCATAGACTTGGAATGACACTTCGATGCAAAGATGGTGGAATGGACTTGTTCAATCTTGTCCAGGCACTGCTAGTCCAGTGTCTCCGGAATTCACTCTTCCTGTTTTTGCCGAACCTTTCGACATTTGTGCTGCGAGTTGTACAGACTCACGCAACCTCACATGTCTTGGAACGTGCCATAAATCCAAAGCCTCAGGTGTAGAACAAATCCAGATCCAGAGCAGACTGACTGCATTCATATGAGTGAGAAGCACCTGAAGCTGGTCAATATGGGCTGAATAATCCACTCATGTGTTTTTCTGCACAAATTCAAAGACTGGCTTGCTGATGCGTAGAAAAGCTTTGATATCGATGACAAAGCTTCTTTGTAATTTCGAGAGCCAAGAGAGCCAAGGGTCCATTCGTGCTTCCTTCGATAGAGATCGGATCGTTGCCTTTGAGGTGCAGAGATCCACACCAAGTTCAGCAGAGGCTGTAAGGTCAGAAGCAAGCACGATGGAACTTTCGGAAGAAGAAACTTGTTAAGATAAGAAAGAGAAGAAACTGGTCGAACGGTCTAAAGATGTCTAAAGAAAAATGTGGAAGATAACAGAAAAAGAGAGAACCATATTGTGTAATATGTATTTAATCAAAGGACATTTAGTGTGCAAAACTTCCGTGTTACGGACATTCAACAGCTGTTCAATACACCACTCATCATACACCACTCATCATACACCACCCATCAGACACCACTCATCATACATCACTGATCATACACCACTCATCATACACCACTTATCATACACCACTTATCATACACCACTCATCATACACCACTCATCATACACCACTCATCATACACCTCTCATCATACACCACTCATCATACATCACTTATCATACACCACTCATCATACACCACTCATCATACACCACTTATCATGCACCACTCATCATCCAGTTAGCTCTAGCTTCAAGAGCTCTAGCTCCAGGTAGCTCTAGTTTCAAGAGCTC